CGGGGGGGTGGGGGGCGGGGGGGGGGGGGGGAGGGAGCCGGAAGCAAGGGCACCACTTGATATGCCCCCATTGTTTCTAGGAAGGGGTCAATGCCAGAGTAGCTCTGAGCTTGTGTCTTGCAGGATGGGCAACAATGCTGCCTTGATGGGCGCTATTATGGCAATGTGGGGCGCTTCCTAAATCATTCGTGTCAACCCAACTTGGTGGCCCTGCAAGTTGCTCTGGGATACGAGATCCCCGGCATTGCCTTTTTCAGCACACGAGCCATCCAAGCTGGTGAAGAACTCGGGTAGGTGACCCTGGTCCAGATCCAGTTGCTGTTGGGCAACCCCAGGGGAGAGCAGTGGATGCTTTGACCCTAAGCCCACCCAGGGACACACCTTATGGCTGACCATGCAAAAAGCTCCCATTTGACAGCTGATTAACTAAGGAATTAACTTTCTGACTAATCTGCTTTATTAAAATACATACATGTTCCTGAGCAATTGGAATGGGACTAGCAATTCTAGGTTTGTTGCTAAGGGACCATAGATACCAACAGCCTCTCCTTCTATTCTGTCTACAGGTTCTGTAGTAGAGTTACAGAAGATATTAAGGGGAGGGGTGTCCCTCCTCCCTGCAGGCTTGGGGGGGGGGGAAAGCGGGGGGGGGCTTAAAGATGAGGCCGGGTCTGGAGAATGTGCAATTCTGCCTGCGAAATGACCGCCTTTGGCTCCGGCCTTGAAGGTTGGGGGGAGCGAGGTTGCTTTGCGGAGGTTCCCTAGTTGCTCTCCCTGGCCGGGCGCGGCTTCCCAGCTGTCCGGGCGAGGTCCGGCCGGTGGGCGTGTGCGGGCGGGCAGGCAGGCGTGGCAGGGACAGCCTCTACCTCCGCTCCCCTTGCAGATTCGACTACGGCGACCAGTTCTGGGAGGTGAAAAGCTGGAACTGCACCTGCCTCTGCGGCTCCCCCGGCTGCAGGCGCTCGGCCAGAAGTCCCGCCCGCCTTCCTTCGCCGGCCGCGGGAGAGCCCGGCTCGGGGCCCAGCTCTTCCTGCACGCCACGGCCTCCGCTCCGCGGCTTCGCGCTCAAGACCAAGCGCTCCAGCCCCCTCAAGAGGCTCACCCGTTCCCGCTTGGCTCGCGAGGCTCGGCCGCCCTAGCGTCGCACATGGCCGCCTCTGCGCTCCTCGGAGCGCCTCAATAAAGAGCCCGCCAGCCCCGCCGCGCGTCTCCCTGTGTGTCTCTGTGCCGGGCGGGAGGGGGGCGGGGGAAGCGCCCGGGGAGGCCGGCCCGCGCAGCCGCCCACCTCCCCCTCTTTCGGCCTCCTGCCGGCAGTCCCTACGGAGCTTGCCTGGCACCGGCCACGAGCTGGGAGCCGCCGCAGAGCGCGCGCGTCTGTCGGCTGGAACTGGCGCTTTGGCCGCGCGCAGAGGGGCCCTCGTGCTCCTGGGAGTGGCCGCCCGCCCGCCCGGCCGGCAGACAGATGGCAGCACAGAGGCTCGCCGCGGCGCCAGGACGGCCCGCCGCTTGCAGAAGCCATTAAGCGCCCGTGTGGCCGCCTGCAGCCGTCGCTCGCCCGCCCGCCCGCCCGGCTCCATGACCATCAGCGCGCTCCGCCCGGGAGGCGCCCCACGCCGCCAGCTGTCGTGCCTCGCCAAGGTGGGATGGGGTGGGGGTGGGGGCGCTGTCGTCCCCGGGCCGGCCGCTGAGCCGCTGTGGATGCCTCCCCCGTAGATGGAACGCGTCGTGGTCGGCATGCAAGACCCGGATCTGGGCGTCCCGGTGCGGAATCAGCGGCTGCTGCTCAGCATCATTCCGCACGCCGTGACCGGTGGGTACCGCTCTGCTCCCCGGGCTGAGACCGCAGAGCGGCTCGCCCGAGGCGCTCGCTAAGCCCTAGAGGGTCCCGCGGCTCCCTCTCGGGCGGTTCCCGAGGCGAAAGCAGCCGGGAGGCGGAGGCTCCTGCAAGACCACGGGGAGAAAGGCCTGTTGGGGAAGGGGCTTCTCTTCTGGAGGTCTGGGTGGTGTCGTCCTCCTGAGGCTCTTCCGCCCCTGGGGTGCCCTCTGGCAGTGGATTCCTTGCTGCCCCAGTGCTCTCCAGCCAGGCCCCCTCTCCTTTCTAGGAAATGACATCGTGGAGTGGCTCATCCAGAAATACAACATCTGGGAGGAAGGTGAGTTGCCTGGACTAGGCTATGGGGAACTGGCAGGCCTCCCCCCCCCCCCTATTACTTTTGCCCTCTGCCGCTGGGAAAGCTTAGCTAGAGGCAAACACAAACCCCAGCTAGCCCAGGGAGGAAGGTGGCTTTTCTCTGCTGGAATCTTGGTGGCCTGGAAAGGCTGCCCAGCTGTTCAGCCAGCACTTTCAACCCCCCCCCCCATCCCTTTCCCTCCGCTAGAATCCTTGCATCTGGGAAACCTTCTTGTAAAGCATGGCTACATCTATTCTCTGAAGGATCCTCGCACTCTGGTCTTGCGAAAGGATGAGACTCCCTACAGGTTCCAGGTAGTTAGAGTGAATCCGAACCCCTCTGAGACCCTGCATGGAATTGGCTGACTTCTCAGCTGTGCCACTAAAAGAGATGGATGGGTAGATGGTTTGGAAGGATCTTTCCTCCAAAAGCCTTGGGCAGGGGCAGGGGGGGGGGGCAGAGAAGGGCTTGGCTAACTGTCCAGCAGAGAGAGGCCCCCTGCCTCTGTCCCAGGGCAGCTGAACCCAACCTCTCCCTCTGTGGCCTACAGACCCCCTATTTCTGGATGAGCACCCAGTGGCTGGCCACCGACCTTGATTATGGTGAGTACGGCAGTGGTTTTATCCCCGGTGGCCAGGTGAGCCTTTGGGGCCCCCTTCAGCTGTGGTGTGCCTGAGGTCACCGTTTCCTATTTCAGCCATCTATTTGGCAAAGAGGAATATCCGCAAGCAAGGTGAACTCCATGAGCTGGAGAAGGTGAGCTCCCGAGGACTAGGAAGTGTGACTGGTTGGCGGGCCGAACGCAGGAGATCCCCGGGCAGCCCCTCTCCTTCCTCCGGGCGCATGGAGCCCCTTTCCTCCCCTTTCTCTCCAGAGCTGTAGGGAGAGCACTGACCCTCTTGTGGGACGGGGTGGGCCATCTGCTGCAGGAGGACTATAAGCAACTGTGCAAGAGGATCAATCACATTTGGGACTTCGTGGTGATGCAGGCCCGGGAGCAGCTCCGGTGAGCCTGCAGGAACACGGTCTGCCCCTTTGGGAGTGGGGAGCAGGGCGGCAGCAGCTCTGACGCAACCCCCGCTTTTCCACAGGGCAGCTAAACAGCGGAGGAGGGCTGACCGGATTGTCATTGAGTGCCAAGAACAGGCCTATTGGCTGGTCAACAGGCCCTTGGTGAGTGGGAGGAGGGGAGGGCTGGGTGCACCTACCCCTGAGCCAGGGCACCAGGGAAAGAGTGCTCAGGATTTGCCCTGGTCTTCTTGGCTTATCTTCTGAGAGCCCAGCACTTGCAGCAAAATAGTTGGTGCTGCTACCTCTCAACTGCTGAAGAGCCTTCCGTAAACTGTGACTGGAAATGAACCTTCCGTGGCTCATTTACACACCATGCATTTCTCCGTTGCCCACAAAGCTTCCCTTTGCCTGGGACAGATGACGGCTGCCTTCTGCCTCTAGCCTGAGTGTGGGATGGGGACATTGCCCAACCATTAAGTTAGGGATCAAATGATGCAGCTTCTGTCCCTCTTCAGGAGTGACCAGTCTGCCCCTGGGAGTGAGTTGTAGAATTGCAGACTGGGTGGTGGTGGGGTCCCAGGAAGGGTCCACTGGGCAAGAGAATGGCCAGCCTTTCTTCTGCTTCACCTACAGGGGGGAGTCTTGGATGTGAAGGGTCAGAGGCCAGAGCTAAGGAGCCACTCCCTCACGCCTACGCATCTGGTAAGTGGGGTGTGTGTGTGTGTGTGTGTGTGTGTGTGTAAAGGGCCCCCTTGCTGGGGCAGCTGGAGAGCGACTGAGCAGACCTTTCTAGCCTTCTGGGAAGGGAGGGGAGAGAGACACCCTGGCTTGTGGTTCCAGTCCTTGATTGGTTCCCCTTAATGGGATACTATTGTCTCCTGAATGGTGGCTGCCTCCTCCTGCCCAGTCAGCCTCGGTGCCAAAGGCTGTGGTGGGGAGATTCTTTTGAGGTCCTTGCTCCTTCTTTGTGGGCTTGGCTTGTGATCCCGCCTACCTTGGTTTGGTTTGGTTTATTGGATTTATATGCCGCCCTTCTCCCAAGGACTCAGGGCGGCGTACAACATTAAAAGAAGCACATAATACAAAAGTTAAAAAAAATTAAATAGAATAACCCAAACAAACCCAATAAGAATTGACAAAAACATATTTTTTTTTAAAAAAATTCGAATTAAAATTAACAATGATCAATAATTTAGTTTGTTTTGTTCAGGCCAGGCCGGCTTGCTGGAAAAGCCAACTTTTTAGGGCGCGTCGGAAGGACCGGAGGTCGGGGATTATGCAAAGCTCGGGGGGGGGGGCAGCTCATTCCAGAGGGCAGGCGCTCCCACAGAGAAGGCTCTCCCCCTGGGGGTCGCTAGCCGACACCGTCTGGCCGAGGGCACCCTGAGGAGGCCCCTCTGTGGGATCGCACTGGACGATGGGAGGCTACCGGTGGCAGTAGGTGGTCTCGCAGGTACCCTGGGCCTAAGCCACGGAGCGCTTTAAAGGTCATAATTAGTACCTTGAATCGCACCCAGAAGACAACCGGCAACCAGTGCAGGCCGCCTAAAAGGGGTGTAACATGGGAACACCTAGGTGCCCCCATGATAACCCGCGCAACCACATTCTGGACCAGTTGAGGCCTCTGAGTGCTCTTCAAGGGCAGCTCCATGTAGAGAGCGTTACGGTAGTCCAGGCGAGAAAGGGCGAGGGCATGAGTGACTGTGCACAGAGCATCCCGATCCAGGAAGGGGCGCAACTGACGTATCAGGCGAACCTGGTAAAAGGCCCCCCTGGTCACGGCCGTCAGGTGTTCTTGCCGATTTTCTGGCACCCAAATCCTTCCTCCGGACCTCTGAGGTCTGCACTCCTGTTTGTGAGCTATATGAGCCCCCCCGGCATTACTAACTCAGCACCAACTTATAAAATGGAGTTTCAAGAGAAAGGCGGGAAACGATGTGGGCCGGTTAGGGACTCCAAGGATTTCCAAATGGTGGTTTAGAAGCAGCAGAGAAGACTCGGGGTTTCTGAGCAGCAAACAAGTGGGGGGGGGAGGGGGGGCTGGATCAGTACAAGCAATGGACAAAAATTGTGGATGGCTGCAAGGGAGATTCCAGCTGGTGTGGCTAATGAGTTTCACTCTTTTTTCTTTCATTGAAGAACATGGACTACTACAAACAGCAGGTGAGTGTGCGTGCGTGCGTGCGTGCGTGTTTGTGGCAGTAGGTGAAAGGCGGAGGTTGGAGGACCCGAGGGGGAACAAGAGAGGTTTGCTCTAGGGCAGGCCTGACCCCCTCCTGCACCCTCACGGGAAAGGAGGCGGGAAAGAACCGGCAAGTGGCTCTCGATAGGAGACGTTCAAACATTGAAAGCCTCTGTACCCGCATAGACACATGCACGCAGAGTGTTCAAGGCGGCCTTTCTGAGGGCTCCTTCCCACCTGGGTGCGGCGATGGAAGTTGGCAGCCGGTGGCACAAGTTCTTTGTCCTTCTCTGTCCTTGGTTGCAGATCCGTTATTACTGTGCCGCCCTGGGCAGGATGCGTGTCAAGTCCTCCCTTTGCCTGCAAGGGTGAGTGGAGAGCCCCAATTTGTCCAACCTTGTTCTCAAGAGTTTTAGCAACAGGTGCTCCGCCGCCCCCGCTCCCCCCCTCCCCCCCCCCCCCCCCC